GAGTACTTACACAAACTTAGACGGGACAGTCTACTATACATGTAGGCTGTGTGGTGTAGCCTAATGCTCCTGGGCTACAAACCTGTACAGCATGTTACCGTACTGAATACTGTAGGCAACTGTACCACAGTTGCAAGTATTTATATATTTAAACATAGAAAAAGTACAGTAAAAGTATGGTATAAAAGTTTTCTTTAAGAGTACGCTTCTGTAGGGCACTTACCATGAATGGAGCTTGCAAAAGGGAAGATCTTTGGGCAAATCAGTGAGTGGCGATGAAATGTGAAGGCCCAGGACACCACTGTAGATCACCAGAGACTTTCTAACATGCTGCACTTAGGCTACACTAAATGTTAACAAAAAATATTCTTTCTTCAATAATAGTAAGTTACAATAGTAACTTTTTTACTTATAAACTTAAATTTTTTAACTTTTTGACTATTTTGTATTAATGCTTAGCTTAAAAGATAAACTCATTATACAACTGAACAAAAATATCTTCTTCTTTTATATTCTTATTCTATAAGCTTGTTTCTATTTTTTCTTTAATTTTTACTTTTAAACATTTTCTTTGAAAACAAAGACACAAACAAACACACGCATTAGCCAGGCCTACGCAGGGTTGTGATCATCAGTATCACTGTCTTCCATTTCCACATTCTGTCCCACTGGAAGTCTTTGAGGTAAATAACACACATGGAGCTGTAGTCATCTTCTATGATAACAACACCTTCTTCTGAGTACCTCCTAAAGGACCTGCCTTAGGCTGTTTTACAGTTAATTTTTTTCTTAGAAGGAATAAACTCTAAAATAAAAATATCCCTGGTGGTCTAGTGTTTAGGATTTTTTTACAAAGGCCAAGGGCAACAGCTCACACTTTTAATCTCAACAATTTGGGAGGCTGAGGCAGAAGGATCACTTGAACCCAAGAGTTCAAGACCAGTTGGGCAACATAGCGAGACCCTCATCTCTATAAAAAAAAAAATAGTTGGGCATGACAGCCCACACCTGTGTTCCCATCTACTTGGGAGGCTGAGGTGGGAGCATAGTTTGAAGCCAGGAAGTAGAGGCTGCAGTGAGCTAGGATTGTGCAGCTGCACTCTAGCCTGGGCAACGGAGTGAGACCGTCTCTCAAAAATAGAAAGAAAAACAAAATAACCATAAAAAGCATAGTACAGTAAATACATGAACCAGTAACGTAGGCATCTATTATCATTATCAAGTGTTATGTTCTGTACATGATAGTGTATGCTATGCTTCACATGGCTGGCAGGGTAGTAGGCTTGTTTACACCAGCATCACCACAAACACATGAGTAATGTTTTGTGCTATGACATTAAGAAGGCTATGAGGTCACCAGGCAATAGGAATTTTTCAGCTCCATGGTAATCTTATGGGACTGCTGTCATCTATGCAATCCATCATTGACCAAAATGTGGTATGCAGCACGTGACTGCACTTAAAAACTGAAAACACTTAATATCTAACAACAGGAGGATGGTCCAGTAAATTCGAGTGTATCCCTTGTGTTTCATATAATGTAGCCATTAAAACTAATGCTAATAAAAAGTACAACATAACATGGGGAATTAGTACAATGAAGACAGAAATAAGGCAGGATACAAAACTGTAAACACGGTATCTCAAGGAGGCAAGCACAATTAGAAAGAGAACAATAATCATGACCAAACAGTATCATGTATTAAGCACTGAATCCCAGGCATGCACTGTGCTAAGCACTTTATGTGCATTTTCTCAATTAATCCTCAAGAACCCAAGGAGGTAAATACAATGACTATTTCAATGCTATTAATGAGAAGACAGACTTACAGAGATTAAGCAACTTTCCCAAATTTCACAGAACATCAACTCGGGCTGTGTCTGACATTCACTAGGCTATGCTGCCAGCCAACTCTTTCACGAAGTTTTTGAATGATTTTTACAGAAATCACAAAATATCTTCTTTTATATTCTTATTCTATATTCTAAAAACTTATTCTGTTTTTCTTTAGTTTCTAATTTTTCTAAAAGTAGTATGACTGTCTTTCTAATTAAAAATATAAACACAAAATAAGTCTTTTTTTAAGAAACGAACAAGTACCACACACACACACACAAAATATTTTGCTTTTTCCTAAGATGTTGTGTCAGAGCAGCACCACACAGCCTCAGAGAAGGGCTGGTAGAAGTAAGCTGACAACTGAGTCGGATTAGAATTCTTACCTTTTTTCATTCACCTTTCAACAAAGTCCCACTAGAAACACTATGGCTCAGTAGTACCTAACCTTGGTGGGGTCACAATTCCCTTGAGAATCTGTTGAAAACCAACGACAATGCCAGAAGCATGTCATGGATCCACCCCTGCCACACACATACACACACATTTGCGTACTATTTTAGAAAATTAAACAGATGCAACCACGTCTATCAATGTGTCCCAGGTAAAAGGCCCCTGACGCAAAGTAATATAAGAAGTCAACTGTTGTCTGATTTACTGAAGCTTGACTGTATCTCTGGAATCACTGTCTATATAATGAGTCATGGCTGGCAGTGTTGTTCACTACAATGCCTTACCATCAGCAGGGATGTGCTCTGAGGTCTTTCTTGGTGGAAAGATGGATTTCAGAAGATTGATCCACATTCTTGACTGATTCCCTGATGGCCAACAGCATCTGGGGATGGTCAGAGAGAAAATAATAGGCCTACATGCATATAAACTCATGAGGAAAGTCATGAAAACAACTCAAGAGTAACTCCCAGGAGTATATCCCTTTACGCTTTACAAAGCATTTTCATAGCCTTGATCTCAGTTGACCCCTCATAACACTATGAAGAGAGCACTGGCTCTATTTTACATGTAACCCAGGTCTCCACTCCCAGCTTCATCTACAAGAGCTGACTCTATTTTTGCCAACCCCAAACTTGATGCAAATTCATCCCCTTCATTATTTTAATGAGAAACTAATCGGTTTAATTAAGCATACTGTAATTTTTCTAGATTTTATTAAATATTCACAGAGGCTCATGGAAGGGTCAACTCACACAGAACACAGCTCTACAAAATCTCAACCCTTCTCAAGTAAGTCTCTCCTCTTGCCCCACTCACCAGATCCCCTCTCCCCATTGCAATCCTGCATTACATAGAGTGGCTTCCTTCTTCTGTATGAGCAGGAAGCATCTTATCAACAAGGCTGATGTTCTGGACATTTGTGGGTTTGTTGTTTTGATTTGCTTTTGTTTCTTTGTCTTTTCACCTGGCATCCACTTCCCTTTCTTGTGGTAACAGCCCACACGCCTCCCCTACTCCTAGTCCATGTGATGAGATGATGAAGAAGAGCTAATGACATGATCCTATGACTCTGGCCATGTCAGTCCGAACCTCAGATTCCCCCAGCTACTGAGATCAGTTTGGGAACAGACAGGTGACTCCTCAGATGTAAGGAAGCTCCATGAGACTCTCACTGAGGCATCTGGGAGAGAAGATTTGCTTCAACCAGATTTGAAGCTGAGAGTATCTAAAATCTAGAGGAGCTATTGCCACCAACGTACTATAAATGGAGACTGAAGTCAAAGCCACACACCAGAAGATAGCTGAAAAATGATGTGAAACCAAGTGCTGATGACATAATTTGGGTCTGATCCAGCATGTCTCGAGCCAGCTGCAGTGAGCTGAATAGTGGCCACAAAGATAGGTCTAGGTCCTAATCCCTGAAACCTACAAATGTTACCTTAAACAGCAAAAAAATGAATATTATCTTATATAGCAAAAGATGAGATTGAGTTGAAGGTCTTGGGGGTGGGGGAGCTTATCTTGGATTATCCAAGTCCTGAATGCAATCCCATGCTTCCTTATAAGCCAGAGATTAGACACAAACAGACAGAAAGACAATGTGAAGATGGAGACAGTGTTTGGGACACAGTCACAAACACTTCAATCTTAGTTCCAAGGAACACCAAGGAATGTTGAGCAGAAGCTAAAGAGGCAAATTCCTTCAGAGCCTCCAGAGCAAGCACTACTGCCAGTACCTTGACTTCAGACATCTGGCCTCCAGAACTGTGACAGCAGACATTGCTGGTGTTGTAAGCCACCAAGGTTGTGGTAATTTGTTACAGCAGTCCTAGCAAACCAATGCACCTGCTCTGTCCCTGGACTTTTCATTTCCTGAACCAATTCCCATTTTTTGTAGGCCATTTTAAGTTGAGTTTTTTTTTTTTTTGGCTACTTGCCACAGAAAAACTTTTATTTTACTTTTAGTTTACAAAAGAAAAGTTGAATAAGCTATAAAATGTGAATCTCTGTTAAAGTAATAAGACATGCATGAACATTATTTTAGGGCTTCAATAGATGTTGACCTACTGGAATAAGAGCAAAACCTACATGAATGAATGAATGGTTGTAGGCTGGGCATGGTGGCTCACACCTATAATCTGTAGGTGGGCAGATCACAAGGTCAACAGTTCAAGACCAGCCTGACATGGTGAAACTCTGTCTCTAACTAAAAATTCAAAAATGAGCTGGGCAGGGTGGAACGTGCCTGTGATCCCAGCTAATTGGGAGGCTGAGGCAGGAGAATTGCTTGAACCTGGGTGACAGAGGTTGTGGTGAACTGAGATTACACCACTACACTCCAGCCTGGGTGACAGAGTGAGTGAGTCTTCATCTCAAAAAAAAAAAAAAAAAAAAAGAACTGAATGGTCATAAGCTTCCTCCTATCTAGATGTCCAATAATAATGCCTTTTAAGGCCATTGGAGACTTTTGTAAGATACTTGCGTTTGTCACCAAATGTAGATACTAGAGCATGATAGGGTTTGGCTCTGTCCCCAACCAAATCTCATCTTGAACTGTAGCTCCCATAATTTTCACATGTTGTGGGAGGGACCCAGTGGGAAATAACTGAATCATAAGGGTGGTTTCCCCATACTATTCTCATGGTAGTGAATAAGTCTGATGAGATCTCATGGTTTGGTTTTATTTTTGTTTTTTTTTTTAATTTTTTTTTTTAATATAGAATGCTTCACAAATTTGCCTGTCATCCTTGCTCAGGGGCCATGCTAATCTTCTCTGTATCGTTCCCAATTTTAGTATATGTGCTGCCAAAGCAAGCACGAGATCTCACAGTTTTATATAGGGGTTGCCCTTTACACTTGGATCTCATTTTCTTTCTTGCCTGCTGCCATGTAAGATGTGCCTTTTGCCTTCCACCATGATTGTGATGTTGCCTTCCACCATGCCAGCTCCCCAGCCACATAGAACTGTGAGTTCATTAAACCCCTTTTTTTAAAATAAATTACCCAGTCTCAGTTATGTCTTTATCAGCATCATGAAAACAAACGAATATAGAGAATGTGGAATTTGTTTTCATTGATTGTGAAAGTGCAACAAGTCCTTCTCCCTCTATGTTGCTGCTATTGACAACACTATAAGACTCCTGTTGTGTGAAGTAAGAGTTTCACTGAGATAGTTAGCACCTGCATTTTCTCTTCTGTTAAAAGACAGATCTATTCTTTCCAGGGTAGTATTGCTTTTCAGTATGACAGCCAAATACACCATTCCATCTTGAGTTATTTATTGCAGCCAACGTCAGGGTAGTGTAGACTACTGTTCAGATGCAGGGCGTCACAGCTCCTAAGGCAGGGGGTTTCAGAAAGTACTTTCTACATGGTAGCAAGAAACCAACTGTTCTGAAGCAAACTATTTCAATTGCTGCTTAATATTCAGTCAATTACATAAACTGTGGATTAGAAAAGGAAATAAGTAGTAGCCAACAAATAATTTGCACAATAGAACTGAAAAGATTCCAAACATTTAATTCAACGTGCCTCTTAATCAACTGTGAAAAATTATGCAGCCTGGTGCATTTATCTTCACCATGATAAACAATATTTCTTTTGCACTTATGGAAGAAAACCTTTCTCCAATAATTTGGTGTGCAAAATGAATAGCCAGTTGCCTCTCCCATTGGCTGATTAGACAGTAGGAAGCAAGAAGGTGCCTTTGTCTCCTCAGTTGGCACAACCTAGGAGCTTAGTAAATGCAGCTGAGACACTAGGCAGGCACAGGCTTATGCTCAACTTGGAGCCACTACTTCCGTACACCCAATCTGGCCCATGATGCTAGACTTCTTCGCACCTAGGCAACATCTATGTTTTCCAACACCAGCTGAGGAAAGGTCCGTGTTCTTTCCAGTTGGGATTCTTGAGCCCCATGCAATTTAGGGGTTATCCCTGACAGTGCTCCAAGACAACTGCAACGTTTTCCTATCCCTCCAGGGAAGTTCAAGAGGCTCGTCTACCCCTAGGACTCACAGCACCTCCAGATATGAAGTCCTGTTCAGCCAAGATAGTTTCACAGATTAATTAGCTTTGTAATGCTTGTGTGAGAATCGGAATGAACAAAGCACAACACTCTCATAAACAACATAATAGGGGAAGTAAGAAAAAGACCTTCCTGAATGTTTAAAAAAAATGATTATAGCAGGCACTTGTAAAACCTAGATAGCATATCTGTAAATGTAGATATGCTTGTGCCTGAAACTGGGTTTTCCTCAAAACATCTGTTTTCATCTTAACAATGGTAAGATGAAACAATGGTTGCCTCTGCATGGAAGATTGTTTTCTCCTTCTTTCTACTTCTTTAAACTTTTCAAGCTCTAAGTAATGTACACATAGTACTTTCATAATCACAACACTTTTGTATATTGTTAAAATTCCACAGTGCAGGTCCTCAATTTAAACACAATTGGCACATTAGGCCTAACATACAATACGTATATATAGAAAACAAACAATGGGAGAGCAGGCATGTGATCATTTAACAGCATTTCTAAACATATCCTAATATTCTAGAGCTGGATCATGGGTAGGCAAGCTATGAGAAGTTCCAAAATAGGACCCGAGCCCCCGGGGAGAGGTGTGCACACGTGGAGCTCCAGACCTCCCGGCCATTCCAGGCGTATTCTCCAGCCCACACCCTGTGGTGCTGGGTTAGAACAGATGTGGGGATGGACTCCCCACTGCTTGATAAGAACTCCCTAATGAGGACATGTTTGCTGGAAGAAGAAAAGTAGAATATAGATGCAAATTACACCAACAGTGAAAAGTTGTTGCTGTTGTTGTTGTTTGTTTGTTTGTTTGTTTGTTTGTTTGTTTTGAGATGGAGTGCCACTCTGTCACCCAGGCTGGAGTGAAGTGGCACAATCTTGGCTCACTGCAAGCTCTGCCTCCCAGGTTCAAGAAATTCTCCTGCATCGGCCTCCCCAGTACCTGGGACTACAAGCATGCACCACCATGCCTGGCTAATTTTTGTATTTTTCATAGAGATGGCATTTCACCATGTTGGTCAGGCTGGTCTCAAACTCCTGACTTCAAGTAATCAGTCTGCCTCGGCCTCCCAAAGTGCTGGGATTACAGGTGTGAGTCACCATGCCTGGCCATGAAATGTTACTTTCCTTCATTCCATTAGATTGGCAAAATGTATAAGCCAAAAATATCAGGTGTTAGGGAAGATTTGAAAACATGAGGTTTTTTGACAGTGTTGGCAGGAGCATATGTTGGTATAGACACTTTGGAGGGCAATTTGGACTCCACTATTAATCTATGAACTACCCACACATACCCCTCAACTGTGTCAAATGTGGGGTTGATTATTCTAAGAGTAATGCAAACCATATTTTTCAATCTGTGTTATCACAAAAGCACAAAAATAAAGATCATGAAAATTATAATGTACACGATTGACAATTTGGTGAAATAATAACCCCAATTGATCATGGTAACTCCCTTTTGGGAACAAAGGTTAGGTGGAGGATGGGAGCCGACCAACCAATTTCAGTGTATCCAGAGTCACAATATTATAGCATCCACCCTAAAGAAACACTCAATGAGTCTTCATTGGAGCACTGTTTACAATAGAATTAAAAACTACCTTTAAAAGTTCGTAGTAGGGGAATGCTTAAATTACAATGGCTTCACACTGAGTGTCGGTAAAAGAATGAAGCAGTTGTCTGTGCCAGATGTGGGAATATCTCCAACTTATGTTATTGAATAAAAATTTTGAAACAAACTATAGAATAATAAGTACAATTGATACCACACATATAAAAACCAAATATACATATTTATATAAATCTAGATAAATATGTATAAACTAATTTTTAAAGTTCTAAAAACATACATACTAAAATGACAACAACCTCTAGAGAAGGGACTGAGGAAAAGGAGGTCAAAAGAAACATTAACTTTACCTGTAATGTTCAATTTTTAAAATGTACAATAAAAATGTATTCATGTACTTTAATGCAATTGACATGAACAGCATTTTTAAAAGAAAGAAGCTCTTACAGAGAAAGCCACAAACCCATGTGGGCTATGCCCACTAAGAAACTCCGTCTATTCACAGGTTTATTTCTATGGTGCTTTCCCGAAGGACGCTGGAAAAGCCACGTTTAGCAGAGTTTCAATTCTTGCTCACCTGTCTTTGTTTTTAGCTTTTATTTTAGTTTCAGAGGTATATGTGCAAGTTTGTCATACAGATAAGTTATGTCTTGTGGGTGTTTGGCATAGAGATTATTTCATCACCGAGGTAATGAGCCTGGTGCCTGATAAGTAGTTTTCAGCCCTCTCCTTCCTCTCACTCTCCACCCTCAGGTAGGCCCCAGTGGCTGTTGCTGTCTTCTCTGTGTCCATGTGTACTCAGTGTTTAGGTCCTACTTATAAGTGAGAATATGTGGTATTTGATTTTCTGTTCCTGTGTGAGTTCGCTTAGGATAATGGCCTGCAACACCATCCATGTTGCTGCCAAGGTCATGATCTTGTTCTTTTCATGGCTACATAGTATTCCATGGTGTATATGCACCGCATTTTCTTTATCAAGTCTACCACTGATAGATATTAGATTGATTTCATGTCTTTGCTATTGTGAATAGTGCTGCAATGAACATATGTGTGTGTGTGTCTTTACAGTAGAACGATTTCTATTCCTTTGGGTATGCACCCCATCATGGGATTTCTGAGTCCAATGGTAATTCTGCTTTAAGTTTTTTGAGAAATGGCCAAACAGCTTTCCACAGGCTCACCTATGTTTTGATTCTTTAAAACTTCTCCTGCTTCTTTGGTGAAGAAAGTTTTATATCACAGAAAGAGAAGGGGAAAAGAGGAAGAGAGGGAGCAGGAGAGAAGAGGGCAAGGAGGAAGAAGAAAGAGAAGGAGAATGTAAGGCAGGGAAAACCATACCTCTATACTCCCCGTGAGAAAAAAGGGTCCCTATCTTAGAATCCTGGCCCTATCACTAGCTGTGTGAACTTGAGTCAGTATCTTCATTTTTGGATTGTCAGTTTTCTCTCCAGCAAACAACAGAGTTCATAAGAAAGCCTAGGTGGGTTGTGGAGTGGGTGGCTTGGCTGGGGACTGCACTATGAACTTTTCACAATATATATACGTAGAGAGTAAGAGCTGGGCCCCTCAGACCAAGGTGCTGGCTGGCTCTTCCACGTTGAAATATGATTAATTCCATCTGATGGAGGCTGACCAAGTCCTCCCATCTGTTATTTAACAAAGAAAAGAAAAGATTTCATCAGTGAACCCGAACCTCAGATCTGCAGAAATCCGTAGATGCAAGACGTATTAATTCTGTATGTTATTATTATCATTAGACTTTACATTTATAGCACTCAACCATTTACAAAGCACTTTCCTTTCCATTACCTAATGTGATTCTCACAACTTAGGTTATCAAGGCAGATGATGTTTCCATTTCCACAGGAGGAAATTAAGGCCAAGAAGTTAAGGCGTTTGCAAGGGTCACTTAGGAGTAGAGCAGAAATTCAAAATCACTTTCATTTACAAAGCCTGTACTCCTTCCACTGCACCTCTGTGCCTTACCCTAACCATTGGTCTCTCAATGATATGAGCTAATCCGTGCAGGTGGAGTGGGTGTGGGACAGGCAGGAACATAGAGGAGGAGAGTAAAGAGCAATTGTCTTCTTCTCCTTCTCCTCCTCCTCCTTCTCTTTCTCCTTCCAAAATCATTTCTTGATTCTCCCTCCCACTACCAGTTTAACAGAGAAAACAGTCTGCTTTATAGCTACTCCATAGAAAGGACCGCTAATA